TATATAATATATATGTGTGTTTCTGCGAATGTGTGTATATATATATATATATGTATATATATATACTATATATATATATATATATATATATATATATATATATATATGTATATATATATATATATATATATATATATATATATATATATATATATATATATATATTTTGTGTGTGTGTGTATGTACACACACACACACACACACGCACACGTGTATTTTTTTCTTTTTGATTCTATGTGTGTATACGAAGCATGTGTTGGTGAGTGTTTGTGTGTACTTTTCTTCTGTGTGCTGTGGTAATATATGACGCAACATCTGTGAATATATCAAGGAGAAAAAGTCAAAGTGTTTTTCATTTGTCTCTCATGCGATGGTTTCATAATCCCTGGCATGCTCCATAAACTATATTTTCTTATCTAAGATTTGTTTTACTAATTCTCTCTCACACACACTGTCTCTCTGTTTTCCTTCATTTCTATTTTTGTTTTCTTATTTCTACTGACTGTATCCTATGTAGCATCATGTACCGTCTTATTTCATTCTTCCCTCTCTTATCCTGTATGTATTGTCTGCTCTCTGTTTCCTAGGTTATCATTTACTCCTCTCGTATTCTCCGACTCTCTACCTCTGTCCTTCCATATCCCTACGTCTTTCATTCTCTAAGCCTATCTTTTCTTTCTTCGCTATTCTCTTCTCCCTTTACTCCCTTTTTTTCTTTCTTCGCTATTCTCTTCTCCCTTTTTTTTACCCTTTTCTCTGACCCTCTTCCTTAGTCTGTTTCTGTTTATTTTCCTCTGTCACTCTCTCCTCCTTTCTTCCTCTTTTCTCTCATTTTCTCTCTTCTCTCCTTTCTCCGTTTCTTTCTCCTTTCTCTGCTGTAATTCTGTTTATTTTGTTATCTTGATCAAAAAAATAAAATAACTATAAAGGAATCATTCGGTTTGTTGCGAAACACTTGTTCTGTAAAGCCCTTTGCGTAACAATATCATCCTCACACCTGCCGTTCGCTTGGAGACCAACTTGATACCACCCGAAACGATAATCAAAACCAATTTTAAGTTTATATAGAGAAATTTGTCATGTATAGTCTTGATCTGTCCCTTCCTTCCATTCGAGGAGCCATGCATGCTGATCCAATCGCCCAAACATTTCTTCGTGCTGACAGAAGATCTTCTCGCGTTGCTGAGAGGAAAAGCAGGATCACGAACGATGGCACGTTCAGCCTTAGCGACGAAGGTGAACCCGGGATCCGAGCGACGCCACAGACTTCCCCAAGAGAGCGTCGAGGTAAGTGGTCTTCTCCATACGCCTGTCCTCTCCTGTCCTGTCCGGGTATTATATTGACTTAAATCATAGACGTATAAAGGGATATTTTACATGTTTAGAGAGTAGTGAAATGTTTTGTTAGAAGTGATTACAGTAGATCAGAAGGACCTTTAAGATTTAAGGTCGTTTTGGTTTATGAATAGAAATCATATACGGTGGGGATGCAAGTACCGTGCATTGCAAGGAGAGGGTAATTTTACAGAATACCGATGGAGTCCTCTCACTCTCTACTAGCCAAATATATAGAAATTATACCGCCCTTTCCCCATTAGCAACAATCTTGGCCCGATAGCAGGGGGGGACATAAAAGATACCAGGGAAACTGCAGGGTAAAATACAAATAACACAGTCACTATATTGTTTAATGCAGTTGACTGTGCCCCCTGCGTCCTCTCTCCTAACGGGCTGCAATGGAAGACAAAGAATCCACGTCTTTACGGCAGGGTAGAGCGTACGACCGCCATGCCATGTCTGATGCCCTCTCCTGCCCTGAAAACGTGGAGGATCCTTTGTTTTTCTAGGCGTGGATTGGGGGCGGGGGTTCGCAGGGGACACAGCTTGCATTAGACGATATAGTGACTGAGTCTGCATATATTAGCATTTTACCTCGCAGTTTCCCCGGTTGCAGGTGGGTCGGTGCTTCATGCGCAGTGTGATGTGAAGCGATGGTATGGTAGTCTTGTTAGTGCTAAGTGCTTGGATTCCTTCTTGCCTGCAGCTGCCACCACTGGCTAGCCTAGTGCATAAGCCTCCCCCTGCCAGTTCACAGCCTTTCCATCATCGAGACTCCTTCAGTATCTCCTCGTGGCCTCCCATGGAAATTGGGTACCTTGTGGTCACAGGCTAAACTGTGGGGGAGCAGGAGGCCCCGAGTTTGGGGTCATGGCCCACCGGCATGTGGACATGCCCTGGCCCTGTACCAACTGCTGACCCTAAGCCCCCTGGGGTTAATGGGAGGCTCGGGGGAGGTGGGCCTTGCCAATCCTCCTTCCCCCCCTGAGATAACTAATGGGTAGTGTTCACTATAATTGGAAATGATGGATGGAGGGGAAAAGTCCCTCTCACCCAGCAAGGGAGGCGGGCTGTGGACCCCGTTGGGAGGGCGACTGCTAGGGCGCAGGTTAGGATCGGGAACTACTTGTCCCGCCTGCATTCTGGCAGCCGCCAGCCCAGACTGAAGCTTGTGGGGGAAAGCCCTAGGGAACCCCACAAGTGGATGATGTGTCCTGCAGCCCACCACCCCCTTATATGAGATGTTCTATGCCTAATATGCATCTGTGGCAGATAGTTGTCCCAGGCGAGATATTTATATTGTTATGGGTGACTTCAATGCGGTATCTGGCTGTGATCGAGCCTGCTATGAGATATCTGTCGATCCCCATGGTTGAGGAGCTGATGCCGTTAGCAAGCATAACCTCCTTTTCTGGGAATTTGCAAGGTCACAGATGTTTGTCATGCGGCTCGTCTGACAGGGGATCAGGATTCGCACTGTTCTCAGGTGCGCAGAACTCGGTCACTGTTAAGAAGGGACAAGGAACAGTTTATTAGGAGTAAATGACCTTCGCCCTGCATACGAAGCCCTGAGAAAGCTGAACTCCTCGCCCTCTTCATGGGTAACAGCAGTTTGCTTAGTAAGTGGCCAGATCATCTCAGATCCTGTTGCGGTGCGGGAACGTGGGGCTGAGTACTTTGAACAGTTGTATTAGGGATGTGGGTAGTGCCGAGATTATGTTGCCGGACCCACCCATCAGTGAAGATCCTATCTCCCTGACTGAAGTTAGGGGGGCGATCTCCAAGCTGAGGAGTGGTAAAGCAGCAGGTATCTGCGGCATACCAGCTGAACTGTTAAAGGCTGGTGGTGAACCTATGGCGCACGGGTTACATGCTGTCCTGGTGGTCTGGTACCGTTACTCCTGACCTGTTGAGGGGTGTGGTCATCCCTCTCTGGAAGGGGAAGGGGAACCAGAGACACCAGAGGCTCGAGCAATCTGGATTCACTCCTGGTAAGTCCACAATAGACCATAGCCTTGCGCTTTGAGTCATTGTAGAGTGCTGTCAAGAGCTCGGGCGTGGGCTGCTAGCAGCCTACATCGACCTCAAGAAGGCATTCGATATGGTGCATCGGGAATCACTCTGGGAGATCCTGAGTTTGGGAGATCCTGAGACTGAGAGGAATTCCAACAAGAATTATTGGACTAATAGCAAGCCTGTATACTGGTACTGCGTGTTGTAAAGTGTAGTGGGGGCCTGTCGAGCTTCTTTCGTGTTTGTTCAGGAGCGAGGCAAGGCTGTGTCCTTGTACTAACACTTTTCAACACTTGCATGAACTGGATACTTAGTAAATCCACTGTTCAAAGCCATTGTAGAAGGTCAGAGACCTTGTCTTTGCTGATGTTGTTGCTATTCTGTCTTTGGAAACCTTAGTGGTGGCTCTGGATGCATTTAGTAATGAAGCTAGGCCCCTGGGTCTAGAGGTCTCCTGGACCAAGACTAAGATCCAGACTTCAGTACTCGCTTGTGGCGAGGACATACTTTGGTAGTATAGTTCATA